TTTAACTTTAATAGTAATGTTAACCGTCTGCTTGACGGAGCAGCCATGGGATCTCTTTTGGGGTCGTTGTTGGCTGATAACAATATAAAGAAATAAGAACATGATCCCACTCTGAGCCCACATATGTGAAAGTGAAAGGTTCTTAGAGTAAATTGATGACTTCTTCGAGCTTTGCGAATCCGAAAGCATGCGGAACAGTTGCTGAAAGCGTTCAATGACGCACATAAGAATCTGCGTTTCATCTTTGAACAAAAACCGGTAACCGATAAGGTTATTGGACGTAGATATCATGTCTCATGTATCAGGGAGGTGCTCAGAAAAATAAATGGACCGGGCGGCACACCAAATTTTATAGCGCAATGCCTTTACAGCACGAGACTAACCCAATCTCTTACCTTCAGGGCGCGCATTATTTGCAATCTGGATACAGTCAACTAATCTCCAAAGCGAATCAACAACGCCCTTAGAGTATATGATTACTCCGATACGTATATCATGAAGCAGCTGAAATAACGAAAGCGAAAACCACCTAGGAGCGTTGATCCCGAGAAACGGCTTTACATACATTTAACATTTAAAGTTGCTTCTTCAGTTGATGACTTATCTTGACGTCTGAAATATGTTGTTGAAAAAATTCATTTCGTAGTCCGCTTGAGAATTGTTTAACACAAAAAGCCATTACTTACAAAACCCTAGAAATGTAGCCTGTACACGTTGACCACTTCAAGGCTCGTTTATCAATGCGCCTGCTCCTGTGGTGCACGATACTTGGATCGCACAACCAGACCCCCTATCACAGAGGATACGCGAGCACAACACGGTATTTTCATATAAAGGCGAAATGAGATACTCAAACGCTTCAATCATGTCGCACCTCCTTGAATGTGGCCATGCTGCATCTGCGAATGAGTTTAAGTCATCTACTCCCTACCTGAACGCTGTTCCAAAGGATTCCGAAAGTAACACTTGTCTATTGCCGAGGCTATTTACATCCGCCATCTGAAGACGGAATTATGTGTAAAAAACGATTCATGAGGTCGATAATACCACTGTGGCCAACTGACATCGTTACTTAGGTCCCCTTTTGTGACCTTACCCATTTAATTTAGACAGCTGAGGTTTGGATATTAAGGTTCCTTTGGTGCACTTTACTACCATATTTAGCCGTCTTTAACCATCAATTTTTACCGTGAATATACCCTCGAAATTAACCTCAGCCCGAGTTAACACTATCCCCCAAATGATCAGCGTTATGTAAACGTTCGGGTCTGAAAAGAGTTTTCCGAAATGAATTGTTAACTCTGAACTCATTTTTAACCTTGTTTCAGGTCAACTAAGTAGGGATATTTGCTTTGCTGAAGAACAGCATTGCCCGTGATTCTTTTTAAATTATGCTCTCATTTGACGTCATTGCGCTCTTCACTTTTATCAGTCACGAAATTGCTAATGAAACCATGGTAGTGCTGGTTCAGAATCAGCTGAGCACAACAACAATCATACAACGCGGACATTTGTGGGAAGTTTTAGACCTCTGCATTACAAATTGTTTCCGCTTTGGTGGACAGGTATACTGTCAGCTGAAACAAGAGCCAATGGGATACTCAGTTGCAGCACTTATTGCCAAAGCTTTGATGCAGTAATTGGAGTGCATTTTACTGCCATCCATCAGTTTAAATAATTAGATAATTCATTTGCGCGACACATTTGTCATCACAGAACCAAACGGAATACGGACGACGCATGAGTTACTCAACAACCTAGTTTATATAAATTGTACAGTTGTATTGGAGAATGACAGCATAACGAGATGTATATATGTATGGGTAGATGGATCCTCGACGTTACAATACACATGCGTATAAAGAAAGAAAATTCTGTTCAAATATTAAACTATCACAGCAGCCACCCCATGAACCATCAAAAGGATCTGCGCTCAAAGTTCATCTAAGCGAGCGGCAACCGACTACAGAACCACTGAATTGAGAAGCCTAGAAGCAAACCATATATACCGAGTATTTCAAAAGAGCGGTTATGCGAAAGACATCCTCAGAAGAAGCTTAAAGAAATGAATACTTCACCAACAAGAGCATTTACGAGGGCAAACAAACAAACGAAATTGCTGCCGTAGATTAACAGTGTTTCTAAACTGACAGGACGGTTACCACAGTTACACGCAATTTCAGTGGCCCCAAACCAAGTGCCACATTGAGAAAACTGATTTCGAAGACTAAATATAAAGTGTATCCGATTAAACGAAACAATGTTGTCTTCCAGATAATGTGTAGCAAATGTGACAAGATCTACGTTGGACAAACTGGTGAAAAGCTTCGTAAACGCATCAACAAAAAACAAAACCGCTGTAAGAAAAGAACTTGCAAATATCTGGATGACGCACATGAAGATCGAGAAGATCACTACTTTGATCTGGAATATGTGAACACTGGTACGTGGAGGTACAAAACCTACAAGAGACTTCATGGATGCATGGCACTCCACAACTAATTCAATTAACCGGCATATTGAACTGGATGCTGGAAATGCAATACTACAATCGAGGGACCGTCGCCCAAAGGACTAAATTTGGTGGGTCCGCAAACCAGACAAATGGAACGGAAGACATGTTTGAGCACTGTAGTAAGCAGTCAGTCACAGAGAACAAGTCGGAGAGTTCAAGGTCGAAGATCAACTGCGTGTCCAACATGATTAGTACAATCAGATGTCCCAGCCAAGTGGGTTGCTGATCACCAAAAGCAAACGTGAGAACAAATAGTAGTTCACGCGCACTCTCATCAGGGCTTCCCGAAGTTACGCTACCGGTTACAAGCTGCACAACAACGAACTGAGGATGCCAGCTCGATTGATAAGGGAACGTTTGCAACAACCTGCTAAGCTCAGCGAGCAGATCGGCGTTCACTAAAAGAAATTGAGCTGACAATGTCGTGCCCATTACGATTCACCTCTGCTATGTTGAATAAAGCACATCGAAATTTTAACAAATACTTATTCCTATGCCAGGTAATAATCAATAACATATTACAAAACACCTAACTACTAAGAGAGGGCAGCAAGTAAGTGAGGTACGAAATTCATCTAGGCAAAATACAAAGCTTGATATCATTTTTTGCCTTCAACATTACTGGTGACATTCTAGAAAAATATGGTAATTCTCACTTCATAGGAGCTAAGCCAAGGATAAAGATGCTGATGGAGAAGGAGTACCGAAGATCAGAATTTATTTCAAAAGATGAATATGGTGGTCAAGTCAATATGCCAGTCTCAATGTATAGCGAAGTTAGTGCAGAGACTCCTTGTGAGCAACACTAAGGATAGATATGAGAAAATAATATTAGCGCGAATCAAGTTATAAAAAAATAATAGGTAGCATCATAAATAAATATCGCAAGCTTAAGAAAAAGGAAATCAAATTCAAGCGCTTAAGTGCCTGAAAAGAACACAGGTAAAACCTGTACAGGTGACATCAAATGAGAGTGGTCTATTTCAGCAGGCAAATGATTATGATAAATTTTAATACGGGTGTATTTGTTACGCGCATGCTTATGTAATCGAAGTGAAGCTGCTGACGTGAATCCATAGATTTCAGTGATGAATTGGTTTGATGTTTCAAACAAAGCTTAAAAACGCTTTGCACGTATTCGCTTTATTAACACTAATTAAAATTTGATTGCGTTTGTTAAAGCTCTATTATTTTGTGTTATAACAAAACGATTTCACGTGCTGATTATGCCTAATCCCAGTGCGTGTTGTGTTCAAGATATTTCTAAGACACGCCTTAAGGTGGGAGCGAATTTACACCAAATAAAGTGCCACTGCTCATTTAAGAAAAAGATTTTGCCTCACTCCTACTGAAGATAATATTGCATGATTCCGGTGAAACATTGGGCACAAGCCATCCTACTTTCGCTAATAGTTTACATTTTGCCATCCCAAAAATGCCTATATCTGGAAACTCTGTCATGCAGGTATGTGATTTATCCATCCCTAAAGTGTAAATATTCAACTCAAAGGATATATGCCAATGCACTTTTTGATGAAGAGTTGCGGATAACCCGGACCATTGACAGTGCCCTCGCATATCAACAACATCTATTAATTTATCTGTCAGACTTTAGGTATTAAGTCGGCGATAGTTCGTCATCTTCTACTCTTCGTCAGCCGCCTATGGCTAGCGTGGAACTGCACCAGACTCCGGCGTTTCTACCTTACGGGTCTCAACGGTTGTGCGCATTCGAGCCGACCCCAGTTGGTTTCCGCCAACTTAACTTCCGGATACCAGCAACTCGTGTAACGTCGTAATGGGTGACAGCTGCGGACTTGCATGTTCGACAGTTGACTATTTTATAGACCGGCTTACATTCAAGTCCAATGTCAGTAACGAACTGGCGTGTGGGGTAGCTATTGCCCTCTGCAAATTCCGATACTTGTACGGCAGTTAAAGAGGAGCGAGGCTATATCACCGTCCATCTTCAATTATTTTAGTTGGCGGCCGTCGCACATGGTAAAGTTTCACTAGCTGTTAGCATCCGGAAGTAAAAGTTTGGGATCAGGCAGGGTTCCACTGGAAGGCGCACCACCGACGAGACCCAGGAGGTCAAACCACCGGCGGCTGATGCATTTCCATTCTAGCCCAAACCTGAAAACTAAGGATGAATGGTTGGTTGAATCTTACGACTTAGTTAAAGTCATAAGCAATGCCACAGGTATTTGGACGTAAGCCACTATCAGTTATCAAGCCGGTCGAAATTATCAACCGCATAAGATTGAAAAGCACATAGACCTGGTAAATGTTGATAAAAGCAAGCATCAGCCTGGGAAAGCTTTTCTTCAAAACTAAACTTAGAATCATGACTGCAAGCAACCGTTGAAAATTGCCATCCTTATCATGGATGCAAGAAGCCTAAAACCAGCGTTCAATATTGTAGACGAGAGAGTTGTTTTCAAAACCACTACGTCTGCAATGCTTACAATTTCTCTATATCTAGTTATACCGGAGATCACCACAACCACGGAGACGAGTACAACGCCAATCAGGACTGCCCCGGGTAGTTCGATGAAACCCACTGATGGAGGTGAGTGTTATTTGCTTTCATTGCTTTGTAAACCATCGAAAGACAAGCTGTATAGGAAAATACCGTCATCAGCAAAAATGATATTCTACAATTTGGAAATAAAATTGTATCAACCAGACAGCAGAAGCCGACGGAAACATTTGCTGGGAAATTGCGTCAAAAGTTTATTACGAAAAATGGTGTCCTTTGCATCACTACTGAACATTTTTAAACTTGCATTTACAGCCATTTTGTCACTAAAATATTTTACTTAACAACATCAAGTTCCGAGCCTCCTTTAACTGCGTGCTGTCAAGGTTACATTACTTTACTCATAAAGAATCATAATGGTGCCAGGCTAAGAGAAGCTCCTTAGAATAACTATAATTTACTTACTTTGGATTCTTGCCGCACGAAGCCGCACGATTTGGAAATAATCACATAGACATTTGCTGTATGCCAGTTTGTGGTCATTTTCATTGGTGATGTAATTTAAACTTCATAATCTGAATCTGAAGTTCATCACCGAATAGTAAGGTAAAAAATTATAGTTGTATTTTTGACAACTGGCTTTAGGAACCGAGATATCTCACTCAAGATATTAGAGAAATTCCGTTACAGTATTTACACCTCTCTTTTATTGTAATCAGGTATCTCGCCTACACTTCATCCATATTCTTCAATGAATCTTTCTGTTGTAAGTAAATCAACAGTGCTTAGTAGCACCACCCTAAAACAAGAGCAGTAGCAACTTCAGAATCCGTTGCTGCCACACTTAAAACTTGCAGTGCATTAGACTCAATGGCAATTAAAAGCGTCCCATCCCATTGAAAACTACAAACTAAAACGCTGTTCTCTTGAATTATTATTTTTATATTGTTTCCTTAACGTGTTTATATTTTCCCAACGTGCATTTAAACATATCGCTTATTTTTCTTGCGCAAACAACTCAAATTGCATGTAGAACGTAGCAAATAAGCTTGCTTTCAGTGTACCTACATCAGGCTAGTACAACCACAGGTAAGTAAGTGAGTTTCAGGTGTTAATAACTCAAAAGATCTCATCTATATAGCTATCTGCTTAGACCGAGCATTGTAGATTGGGGGGGGAGGAATGGCGTGACAAGTTTTCGTACTTGTGTTAGTCTGAGGCCAAGGTAGAAGGAGGGCGTACAGCTAATACTTCTTTCCGCCGAATCGAGATTACCGCTGATATCGATAGCAGCCGGTAAGTTCTCCCGCTGTGATGCAACCTGATCCTATACGTTTAATTTATGCGATCAATAACAGCCTTAAATCTATATTGACTTTGAAGACCTCAAGTACGCCAGATAGTTACATTTGAGCTTACGTCCAGCAATACCAAAGCCACTAATTAAGCAGTCACCTACCTGCATATTCCGTACGACTGTTGCCGAATAATTTTCTTTCATTTCAGGAAGTATTGTGCACACGTGCGTTATATCTGTGGTTTCACCTAATAGCATAGTGTTGTAGCGAATGGTGGTTTTAAATGGCAAAAGGATCCACTTAGCGTTAGCCGTTTATTTGGTACATTTCTGTCAATGTCCACTGCATTTGCAGCGGTCAAACTGCTGTTACATTTATAGAATTGTCGGACAATTGCTGCTCCACCAATTGTTGGATTTTGATTCAGACTTTTAACCAGTTTAATAGCTCTTTCTAGAGGTACTTTGGATATACTTACGCATTGGGGAATAAAACTGAACAAACTGATGTGAATCTAAAGAAAGTAGTGATGGATTGCTTGAAAGTTTCAAACTAGGATATGAACGAAGTGAATCAAGGTTTCCTGTTGCATATCATCGCTGTTATAACATGAGTTAAATTAGGTTGCGTTTGTACAAATACTCTAAATTTTCGCTACAGTAAATCATTTTTGTGTCTGGATTATACTTAACTGCAGAGGCGGAAGTGCCTTACATTCGTGATAGTACAAGGACGCAGGGACGCAAAAGCAAGCAGTGGAGCACCAAAATAGTATTAGTAGACCCAAGCGTTTTTACACTTCTTCAGGTGATATATAGACATATTTCCATTGGAAATGGCTGAAACATTAGGCGCATGCCATCCCTAAATTGGGAAAATATTGATTTGCTTTAGTCGCACGTAATCACCAGTAAAATTCGTCTATATTAGAGAAGACAGTAGTTAAAACGCGTATGAGAAAAACTGTGAAATTGCACGACACCTAGTGCCGTTTTCAACATAAGTATAATGTATGAAACAACTAACAGGCACTCAGTTAAATATCACCTCCACCTGGTTTTTAGACCCAGCAAAGTAATACATTGTTAATCAACCAACTAAAACAAGCATGTACAGAAAAGGGTTTGCAAAAGAAGCTAAACCTATATTGTTCATTAATGTAAGCCGTATCAAAGTCGTCGTTTTGTTCGTTCACTTTTCTATAACACACTTTATTTTTCCTATAATAGTATCGTTCGGGCAATGGTAATAACCGTTACACATAAAGGCAATACAACGACATGGTTCATGTGATTCATCCCATAGAAATTCGAACCGAATTTCCCTAATTTTATTTTGTACACTCTGTTTTACAAGCATATTTGAGAAGAGTACTACATCATCAAACAAATTAAGAATAGAATGCATCTTGTAACGAAACTAAAGTCACAAACAAGGTCACATGCATAGTTACCTCTGCCAATTCCGGGTATCACGCCCAGCGAAATTATCCATGGCATTATTTTAAGATGCAGAATGACCTGGTAAAATTTGGTAACGGTAACAATCAGCTTGGAAAATCTTTCACTAATGCCTTAATTTAGAATAATGACTGCAGGCAACCGCTGAAATTTGCTATAATAATCATGGATGTAAGAAGCCTAAAATCCGGGTTTAATATGGGCAATAAGAGAGGTGTTTTCCAAACCACTACTTCTGCAGTGATTTCAATTTCTTTATATCTAGTTATACCGGAGGTCACCACAACCATGGAGACGGGTGCAACGCCAATTAGGACTGCCCCGGGTAGTTCGATGAAACCCACTGATGGAGGTGAGTGTTAGTTGCTTTCATTGCTTTGTGAACCAACGAACGATGAGCTGCATAGGAAATTGTCCTCGTCAGCAAAATTCACATTCTGCAATCGTGGAATCCAATTTCAAAAACCAGACGGCAGAAGCCGACGACAACATTTGCTGGGATATTGCATCAAAACGTTTGATAAGAAAAACGTTACCCTGTGTTTCACGAACTACAAGTTCCCATTTGCCTACGTAGCTAGTTTGTCACTGAGATTATACTTTACAAGTTTTCCTTCCGTAAACTTCTTGACTGTCGCTGTCAAGATTAGATTGTTTTACTCGTAAAAGACCATGATGATGCCCGACTAAATTAAGCTACTAAGATTAAATATCATTTTCTTACTTGGGATTCTTACCACACTACGATTGTAGTCTTTTCCCTTTAAAAATACTCCCATGGACATTCGCTCTTTGCCAGTTTGTGGCCATTTCTATTTGTGATGTCATTTAAACTTAATAATCTGAATCTGCAGTTCATCACCAGATATTAAGATAGCAAAGCACAGTTGTATTTTCAACAACTGGCTTTAGGAACCAAGATACCTTACTCATGATATTAGAGAAATTCTTTTACACGGTTTACACCGCTTTTGTATTGGAATCCCTGGTCTAGCCTGCACTTCTCCAACGAAACTTTCTGTTGTAAGTATAGCAACAGTGTTTAGTAGCACCACCGCGCAAACAAAAGTAATAGCAATTTCAGAAGCCTTTGCTGCCACACTTAAAACTTGCAGTGCATTAAACTTAATGACAATTACAATGCGTCCCATCCCACTGAAAACTGCTAACCTAAAGGTTGGTCTGTTGAATTATTATCTTTATATTGTTTCTTTAATTTGTTTATATTTTCCCAACGTGCATTTAAACATATCGCTTATTTTTCTTGCGCATACAAACTCAAATTACATGTAGAACGTAGCGAATAAGCCTGATTTCAGTGTATCTACACCGGGCTAGTACAACCACAGGTATGTGAGTTAAATAGTAACACGTGGTTTTGGGTATCAGTAACTCAAATTTACTCATCAATAAAATGATCTGTTTAGCACGGGCTGTGTGGAGTCGGGGGAATGTCGTGATAGGCTTGCTTTCTTTAGATAGTCTTGGGCCAAGGTAGACGGAGGGTATGCAAAAAAATACTTTTATGCGTCGAATTGTGATTGCCGCTGCTATCGACTGCAGTCGACAAGCACTCTCTAACTGATGCACCCTCTCCTTATCCTTTTCATTTGTGCGATATATAACAGAGTTAAAACTATAATGGCTTTGCTGAATTCAACTACGCCAGATGATTACTTTTGAGGTAACGTCCGGGCATATCAAAGCCACTAATTAAGCAGCCAGCTACCTAAAAATTCCGTATGACTGTGACCGAATTACTTTGTTTTATTTCAGAAAGTTTTGTGCATACGAGCGTTATATCTGTGGTTTCACATTATGGTCATAGGAAAGTGTTGTGTCGACTGGTGGTGTTATAAGGCAAAGGAATCCACTTAGCATTAGCCATGGGATTCGCACGTTTCTGTCAATGTCCACTGCATGTGCAACGGTCAAAACTGCTTTTACTTTTATGGAATGGTCAGACAATTGATGCGGTACCAATTGTTGGATTTTGCTTCAGCCTTTTAACCGCTTTGAGAACACTTACTAGGGGTAATTTGGATACGCTTAGGCTCTGGGAATAGAACTGAACATACTGATGTGAATCCATAGAAAGCGGTGATGGATTGGTTGGATGTTTCAAACAAAGCTTCAAAATAACTGCTTCAAGGATGCCTGGCGCATATCTTCGCTGTTGTAAGATGAGAGTAATTAGATTGCGTTTGTACAAACAGTGTAATTTTTCGCCACAACAAAACAATTTTGTGTCCGATTTATGCTTAAAGTTAGACCCGGATGTGCCTTACAGTACTGATAATGCAAGGAAATACCTAAATTGTGGGACGCAGAAGCAAGCAATAGAGCGCCAAAATGGTATCAGTAGACCCAAAAGATGCAACGTTTCGGCGGATGATATGTAGACATATTTCCCATGCAAATAGCTAAAACATCAGCCGCATGCCATTCCTAAAATCGCGGCACAATTGCTTTGCCTTCGTCGCCTGCAATCACCGGTAAAATTCGTCTTTATTAGATAATGCACTAGTCAAACCGCTTATAGGAACAGCGTGAAATTGCCCAACATCTAGCGCCATTTTAACCAAAAATATAATCTACGAAACCCAACATTTACTCAGTTAAACATCACATCCACGTTGTTTCTTCACCCAACAAATCAATGCATTTACATCAGCCCTATTATAACCAGCATGGGGACAAAGTGGTTACTTGTAGAAATTAAATTTTGATGTCCATTTAAATTAGCTGCAACAACGTCGTTTTTTGTGTTCAATTTTCTATAGCACACTTTCTTTTACCCAAATTAGTACCGTTTGGGAAATGGTAAAATCCGTCACACTAATAGCATCTCAACGGCATGATTTATACGATATATCAGTGATAAATCGGAACCAAATTTCCATCAATTTTAATATGTACACGCTCTGTTTCACGAGCATTTTTGAGAATAGTATTATTATCTAAAGAATTGAGAACAAAATCAAACTTATAAGTTAGATAAAGTCATAAGCAATGCCACAGATATTTTCACATAAGACACTATCAGTTATCAAGCCGGTCGAAATTATCAATCACATTAGTTTAAGATGTATGATGGTCTGTTAAATTTTGATAAAGGCAACCATCAGTATGGGAAAGCTTTTCTTTAAGGCTAAACTCCGAATCATGAATACAAGCAACCGCTGAAATTTGCCATCCTTATTATGGATGTAAGGAGCCTAAAACCCGCGTTTAACACTGGCAAAGAGAGAGTTGATTGCCAAACCACTACGTCTGCAATGCTGTCAATTCCACTTTCTCAAGTTTTAAAGGAGGTCGCCACAACCACGAAGACGGGTACAGTCAGGACTGCCCCGGGTAGTTCGATGAAACCCACCGATGGAGGTGAGTGTTATTTGCTTCCATTTTTTGTAAACAATTGTTCCTACGAGGGCCAGTTAGAGGAGAGTTCGGAGCTCTATTTCGGACTACATACAAATATAGTGTGGTGTGCCGCAAGGCTCAGTTCTGGGTCCAAGTTTGTTTTTGGTGTTTATGCATGACCTGTCACAGGGAATCTATTCAAACTTCCTTATGTTTGCCGATGATATCAAGATCTGGCGCATGATCCAGGCGAACGCCGACCAGTATCTGCTTCATAGTGACCTAGATACGGTGTATCATTGGTCAACCCAAATCTTTCTGCGTTGTAACTTCAGTAAATGCAAGGTACTTTCCATCCGACATCGGAGCAGATACTCATACTGGCTCGGAACAAATATACTGAAATAAGCTGCTTTCGAAGGTGACTTGGGTGTCCGGTTTCAAAAAGATTTGGGTTGCTCCAGACCATCCGAAAAGGACTCAAAACTGTGATCTAACACGCCGGCTGTTGCGGCGGGCGTCTGGACAAAGAAACGGCGCAATATATTGACAAATGTTTAGTGCGTATGTTCGCCCCATGTCGAATATGAAATTCAAGTCTGGCATCCATGGCTGGACCATGACCTTAATGCACAACCTAGAGCATCTAAGAAACCTAATTGGAGTGCGCATTCTTTCATACCAGGTGAGGCTGCATTGAGTGGCGTTATTCAGTGGAAGCTATCACACAGGTATTTTTACGTAAGCCGCTATCAGTTTTCGATCCGGTCGAAATTAATAATCACATTAGTTTAAGACGTATGATGATCTGTTAAATTTTGATAAAGGCAACCATCAGTATGGGAAAGCTTTTCTTTAAGGCTAAACTCCGAATCATGAATACAAGCAACCGCTGAAATTTGCCATCCTTATTATGGATGTAAGAAGCCTAAAACCCGCGTTTAATATGGGCAATGAGAGAGTTGTTTTCCAAACCACTACGTCTGCAATGCTTTCAATTCCTCTATATCTAGTTATACCGGAGATCACCACAACCACGGAAACGGGTACAACGGCAGTCAGGACTGCCCCGGGTAGTTCAATGAAACCCACCGATGGAGGTGAGTGTTATTTGCTTCCACTTTTTTAAACAATTGTTCCTATAAGGACCAATTAGAGGAGATCATTTAGACAATTCACTTACTCGCGTCGAGTAGTGTGAGTGGTTTTGGAATTAATTTGCTTGGAGCAAGGCATGTAGATTTCGAGCTCACTTGTGCCAAATTTCGCTGATACAGCAAAAAATGCAGGCCGGTTGTTTCGATAGCGCAAATGACCTAACCACGCATATTAGAACATTACTTTGTATTGCACTGTATGTTCTAAGCATAACAGGAATTATACGTGATAATACGCTGCAAGCTCGAACATTCTTGATTCTGTATGTGGCTATCACTTCTCCGGTCGCAACAATGATTTTTTTGCATCTCTCGTGTTTTAGCTACAAAAGCTGTGAATAAATTCCCAATCATGTTTCTCGTTGTTTTCTTCATTTGTGAGTTGACAGTCTCTTTCGATTAAAGGAGATGAAAAATTAGATGTTTAATTCGAGAAACATTACTTTGCTCCTTAACGTTTAATTTTGTAAAAATTAAAATTTCTTGTGTGCAATTTTGTTAGCTTCCCTGAAAGACAAATAAACGATTTTAGTTGTCTTTTTTCACGCTTTTGATATGACAGGAATTCTGCAACTAACTGAGAGAGGTATAAAAGTGTAGGTTAGAAACTCGTTTCTGAATTCGCTGCCCGAGTTCTGAATTTTGTGAATTCCGCCAGGATACTTATCCAGGCTGATGTGCGTTACGTGGTATTGGTGTGGCAGAACTAGACAGGGAGAAATCCGAATGTTGTCAACCGGATTAATTAAACCTTATTGCAGCATTAAGGCAGCATTAAGGCTTAGCAAACTAACCAGAGGTTGATGCACTATATCTTTATTTAGCAGCAAAAGAATGTTAAACCAGAATGGTTAGTTCAATAATATCGATCTATGTAAGAGCTTTACATATTTCCAATCGAATATTGCTTGTCCAAGCGTCAAAGACCGTATATCTGTGCTCTTCAATAATTAAGCATAAGAATTTAAATAATGCAAATCACAAAATAAATAGTTACAATTTGCAGTTGACGGTTAAACCTTTAGCTGAATTTTCAAAAAACTAACTAGTGAAAGTCCAACGAAATAATACGAAATCAATACTTATTGGTTACCCGCAATCAATGTGCTTATATTTCGACTCCATTCCGTCCGGCATCAGAAGCCGTATCCAACCGATGTTACGGATTCGGTAGTTAGACAAGAGATTTGTCAGCATCAAGCTGGATTACAAGCAAAATGCACATTATCTAATTACCAGCAGGATAAAAGATATCAACAATGCAAACAAATTGGTGAACTCCGAAATAATGTTCTTGAAGTAACTGGTTCACAGGAATAATGACGAAAAATTCAAAGTTGCGTACATCGGGAGAAGGCACACACAGACCAGAGAAACTATTATTCAAAATGCAAGAAGCGAGATATCCAATACTTTTTCGAACGAGCAGTAAAACTACAGCGCGGCGGAATTGAGGAATAAAGTAGAGAACCGTATATATATGGTATTTCAAAAAAGCGTGCATCTAAAGATTGTGTTTAAAAGAGCCCTGATCAGAATAGTGCTATCACATCATAGAAAATAAAAAATGCTCCTTAGCTTAAGAACGTATATGAGCTGTAGATGTGATTGCTACAGGTACATAGAATCTCAAAACATAATGCTAAACGGTGGGGAATAATTTAACCGCGAAAAGACAAAGTGGAACAAGGCAGTCAGAGATATTTCCTATAGAGCTAGATTGCAGATAAGAAGACACAAACTTCATCGGTCAAAAGATAACGGCTTTAAATACGGATAACCAAACACAACAAGGACATAGGATGAGGCCCAATTTTACTGGTCCACATAAAAGAACATTAATTAGGTAAATAATTTTTCTTAGAGAAAACAAAGAGACTAGCAGGTGAAAAATTCGAGGTGAGCCAGGGAATGCTAGGAAACGTGGCATTCTACAGCTAATTCTGTCAACAGACAAATTGAATTAGATGGGTGTTACGCAGCACCACCAATAAAAATATTCAACAAGCGAAAATATCTAATGAAACAAATCGACAGACTTGGAATTCGGATGAGCATATCAACAGCGGGTGCAAGCGTGTCGACTTCAAGAGAAAGTAATTTAGGTGGCCATTTGGCCTTCACGTTTAGAATTCATACTGACAAGTGTTCCACCAAGATGATCGATCACCCTCACACGCACTCCGTAGTGCTTTGCACCATGGCGCTCCGCTCCGCTACATTCTAGCGCACTGTTGATGTCAATCGGTGGTGGATAAACGTTTGCAGCAAAACCTCCGCGTTCGGTGGACAATTTGGTCACCAAATTAAAAACAAGATGTTCCTGTCCGCGTTCAAACACACATGCGTTTTCGTGTAGGTTCGTCGCAGTTAGACACAGGCAGAAAGCCAACACACATCCAGGAAAGCGCTAGCCGGCCGCAAAATTAAGGTGGTGGGGTCAAATCCGGTATTATTCGGCGGGTGCGCGATACTGACAAGTCCCAGTAGGACGAAACGGCCGTCCAGCACTTTCTTGGATGTGTGGTGGCTGTCTGCCTGTGGCTAGCTGCTACGAACCTACACGAAAACCTAATAAATCCCCTGATACTTACAAATAATTAGTAGTCGCCTTAGCGGCTTACATGCCACCTCGATTGGTGGCGGCTTGCAAAGGAAGTCGTTGCGCTGGAGGTCAGCCCGGTCCTCTGCACATTCCTAACATACAAGGCGGTGGAGGATGAGCCGCGCTAAACCGCAGTTAGATATCAGTCATGGCTGTCCGCTGCCATCGCCTATGGCCCAGTGACATAAGTCGCTGACTCGCAAGTGTAAGGTCGTGGGTTCGAATCCGGTAGGATTCGGCGGTGCGCGCTACTGACGTCCCAGTAGGACGAAACGGCCATCTAGCGCTTTCCTGGAAGTGTGTTGGCTGTCTGCCTGTGTCTAACTGCGAAGAACCTACACGAAAACCTGATAAATCCCCCTACTACTTACACACGCCTTTTATTAGTTTTCATATCTAACCGTTAGGATTGATTGGACTAGGAGTGTCCTTGCTTCTGCCAGGTAGCGTCGACCGTAAGTTCGTACGCAGGTCCCCACATACCGAAAATCTTGTTCATTGAATTATTTGTGTATATATAAGCGTGTTGTTACAAGTTCGCTAATATCCTTCTTCGGACACAACAGCTTGGCATCGCGAACTGCAGTGTCGCTGCATACTTCTGCCCCTGCTCAGTTCTGGATCGTTTTCGAAAGTACGCCAGGTGCAGATTTTTACAAGATTAGAAAATCAGGTTTATTCTCTCTTGTCACATTTTAATATTTAGGTGAATATGAAGGCAGTGAAGAGTCTAAAATTGCAATGATCAAAACGACGCAGGAAATTAATCGCCCAGCGATGCCAATATTAAATAACACCTTAGTAATTTTGGATAAGCATTAGTTAGTTTACGTGAACTTGTACACGTTTAGCCAAAGGTTTTTGCAGAAATGCAACTGGTGAAACTTTGGGTAATTCAATATCTTGCCTCCTACCTTTTTTACAAAGTGCAACTATGATGATGTCTTAAAAAATGGAATTGAAGAAAACATGCTGTCATAAAACTCTTATCGGTATTGTCGGATTCTCGGATAAGATGGAGACTAATAATTGAGGATACGGATAAGGTCCAATGGGGCAGAACATAAAATATATTTCGCGAGGAGTTTGCGAGCAATAAACAAAAGATTGTATATTTCAAGTCTGTCACCCCCGAAACAGATTGACTATATTCACCACTTTCTCTCAAGATATGCGCAGATAAAACAGTTTTGTCTGCGGAAATACTGAACACAATGCAAACAGCAGCTCGTGCTCTGCAAATAAATTGATTTGTTGGATCTGCTGTAAATCGGGTCATTTTGCCCGGGTTTGTCGATCTCGCAATATTTTGCTCGTTGATTAGTCCATAGCTCATACTTCGACAACTATATTCACCGGTGAATAATTTACATTTTTAGTTAGTTAAATTTAGTTCTAGGTTCCTTTGTTTTCTCAAGAAAATAACAACACCCTCATCCGACATTCGATGTGTTTTCCATTAAATATAAAGACTACAATTCGTCTAGATATGGAGGCTAATTTAGCGTCACCATTATTGCGGCTCCATAGTTTTACAAACAACATTTGGCTTATTTCATCGTGCGCCCTTCCACTTGCACATTTACCAGCATTGCAAATGGTCGTTTTATGAAGATTAAAAGGGTATTGTCAGCAAAGTTTTACTAGAGCCGATACTGTGTCCGAATATATTCCAACAATTGTTGCAATTCAAAAGAAGGGTGGATCTACGTGAGTATGTACCGAATATATCTAAATAGTAAGCACATTATTGTCCATTGGTTCTATCAATGAGTTTATGGTTAGACTTTCAAAAGTCTAGGTATCCTAGAAGCTTGCTCCGTAAATGCATACGTGTACATGCACCTGACTCCAAACTGCAGACATTTGCCAGATTTCCTTGTTCAGTTTGGCTTATACCAGTACATGTTTTTTACTTGGGCCACATCAGTGCGATAGCTGTGTGATAGACATCCATTGCTCTCTTCCTATGTGACGTCAACAGATGCCTCATGCAAATACACTAGGTATCTTTGTTTGATTTTGGTCCGATTGAACAAGAAAAACCATGTGAACATATTTCAAAGGCTGAGTGACCTAAAACTTCGCCCGAATGTAGAAACCGCAAGTTCACTTTCATGGAACCGGAGTTTATTGAGCAAATAATTTCCACTTCTGGTATAAGGATGACTAAAAAAATTAGACCGATGTATAACTATACAAATACGTTCAATGAGCAAGAAAGGAGACATAATTTGAGTCTGTGTAATTATTAACTGACCATAATGAATAATGGTAGCTTCTGCGACGGCTGCGACTCCAACTGGACGTTCTGGTAAGACACTGATCCGGAAAATTCTTATCTAAACACAAGCTATGGTTGTGTACAACCCTGCTGCGACACTTGGTGAGCAATGTAAAACATGTATTTCAAATGAAGCTTTGGATGCTGAGTAAGATCTATTACTATTTTAGTGTCATAGCAGTGAATATAATGTAATAGAAAATGAAATCTGTCGTGAAATCTGTCGACTAGGTAAAGAAATTACTCTGCTGCCGAATCGGAGGCAATGTGCGTGCATCTAAGCATGCGAGAAATGTTATTTCTACAAAGCTGGGTGTCGATATCACCTGAGCAAACAGCAGACTACAAATACAATCCTAACTGACTGCGGTAACAAGACGCGAAAACCGGTGCGATTAACCCTTTAAAACTCACGTCTACTAAACTAGACGATGGAAATAAATATAGTCCAGGATTTTGCAAGACCTTTGCGCACTCACTTGCGAGGCCAACGATTAAAAAGAAGGTGTACGTC